CTTTCCTCTACATCTGGTCAAAGTTCTGAAAATCGAGGAAGTTCGACAGGAGTTTCAGTCTATGAAGAACTCGGAGTCCTTCGTTGATTCATGGGAAATAGATTGGTGCAGGGAAATACGGGATCCAGGGAGAGCTGTAGGGAATGCAGTCGAGTGATCAAATAGTACGGGTCGTCTAGTTTGATAGACTGTAAGTTGTTCAAATCGTTTATAGTGGATTGTTGAATGACAAGGTGTCCGGAGTTTTTTCCAGTTGGGTTTCTCCGTGATCATACCGTGTGTATTGATGTTTATGAACAAGTCAGGATGTATCTTAGCCCACAAAAAATGCAATCGGAAGGTGTAGGCTTTGTTTGGCCACTTGCTGCAAACCTCGTACATTATTTCAAGATTGTTTTGAGAGTCGTGGTAAATTCACTTCACTATCGGCCTATCCCAACAAGCACCCCATTTTTCAGGTTTGTTGGTGTCTAGAAATTATTACCATATTTTTTCGATCTTTGCTAAGTGTAGGCTTTCATTTTTCAAACTTAAGTTCATCTCATGTTGTACTCAACCAAGATTAACGCCTACCTTCAGTTTTGATAATTAGATATTGTAGTTCATTTTTTGGCTTTAGTTTTTTTATTCACACGTAGGATTGTATCGGTGCACTAACAAAACACATGTGAAAGATGTCCTACAGCAAGAGCAACAATTAAAATTCATTGGACGTAAGGGAATTCGAAAGTGTAACGTTCTACAAGTTCGTGACTTTCAATCTTTTTTCTCCAAGTGAATGCATGGAACACCTCAGAAAGTACTAACTTGCTGAATTAGGTTCTTCAGATAGAACTGGGTGTATCGCCCTGTATAAATGGTCTAACATTATAATTCACTTTCGAGAATTCTGAGAATGGCCAAAATTACGTTGTCAAATTTCAACTACCGTCACTTTTCTTATAGAAAAAGTAATCGAGAGGGGGGCTTTCGGTGTTTGGAAGTAGCAATATCAGATTCTTGATTGTATGTCTCATTACTCTTTTCAAGCACAGATAGCCATCATGTCGCAACCATGGCGGTACACAATTTCCTCAAAAGGTCTAGGGATATGAATGAGGCCTTTCAGAAAGTTGACGATGACAAAGGGCGCTGATGAGGTAGACCTTCTAGATGATGAATAACAAATAATGGTTGAAATGAATGCATCATAACATCAAGACATGCCATGGGATCAATGTGCGACAATATGGATTAGCAATTGGCTTAGAAATTCATGAGAAGGAAGATGTACTAGAGTCGAGATCACGGTTGGTTGGTTGGATTTATTGAATGCGTCATTTTAGATACCTATTTTTGAAGTGCTAATTATGCTAAAACTACCTATTTTATGAGGTGCTAATTATATATATATATATATATATATATATATATA